ACTGCATTCTGCATAACAAGCCAAGTGCAGTTGTTTGATTCTAATCTCAAGTGCTGCGATCGACTGCATTCCAAACACTGATTATAGTGCGGTCTGAAGGAGGAACAGTGTGAAGGTTACATGTTTCACAACATGTGGGTGTCTATGACAACATGATCCAAATAATGTTTGTTATGGTTCATGTTCTAAAATTCAGAATATGAACAACTTGTTCATAAAGCATCAGTTCACCCAAAAATGAAAAATCTGTCATTTACTCACCCTCATGTGATTCCAAACCTATATGACAGTATTTTATTAAATGGAAATGGCACATTCTAAGCATTTTTTGGGGGAAGTCGTGGCCTAATGGTTAGAGAGTCGGACTCGTAACCCAAAGGTTGTGGGTTCGAGTCTCGTACCGTCAGGGATTGTAGGTGGGGGGAGTGAATGTACAGTGCTCTCTCCCACCTTCAATACCACGACTGAGGTGCCCTTGAGCAAGGCACCGAACCCCCAACTGCTCCCTGGGGCTGCCCACTGCTCCAGGTGTGTGTTCACTGCTGTGTGTGTGCACTTTGGATGGGTAAATGCAGAGCACTAATTCCGAGTATGGGTCACCATACTCAGCCACATGTCACGTCACTAAAAAAAAAAAAAAATTCAAGCTTGTCTTTGTGAAAAAATCTTACTGCTGCTGCTGCTGCTGCTTCTTCTTCTTCTTCTTGCGTTTTTTGGCGTGTTACATCCTGTGTGCATATCGCCACCTACTTTTGCTGTTATCTGCTGCTTCTGCTGCTTCTTCTGCTTCTTCTACACACCAACATAAAACATGCATTTCTGAGGAGCATAATAAAGATATGAGGATGTTGGCTTCCGGTTTTGGTGGGTTATAAGGCATTGGGTGAGCCTAATTAGCAAAATCCTCTCTCTCAGTGGTCGATCTAAGGGTCACCTCTCTCTGAAATTTCCTCCAGCAGCGAGACTGTCTGACTGTATGCAGTAGCTCAGTTGGGGGGCGAGAGCAGAGAAAGGATAATGAAGAGGATATACCAGCCTGGCCGACTGCTGCCAGGTTGCTGTCAGTCTGGATCAGACCTGTATCTGCCACACATCTCTATTACACTGAGATTCTGAGCAGCAGCTGGAAGAACGTTAGCTTGCCAACTGAGCTGACAGATCCACATCCATCCACCCAAAGCCCATGTCACACTTGACAGCCACATTTAAGCTTAATAGTTACCTAAAGGGATTGTTTGCTCCAATATTAAAAATTTAATCAACCTTACGTTGCTCGAAACTACAACTAGTACAGAGTATCATATGTCTTTTGAAGTCATACAATAGTTTGTACGATGTCTGTTGGGACAATTACATGATGCTCTTTTTGAGATCTAGTATTTGTTCAAAACCACATTTAACATGCAACTCATACATCCAGTGATTTAAATACACCTCTTCTTTGATGATCATGTGTTTGATTTCACAATTAAAATTTGTTTTGATAATTTTGTTGTGGACATAAAGTCATAAATGTAGGGGTGATAAAAATAAATATTATAATAAAGAGTATTAAAATAATCAACTATTGAAAAGAAAACAGTTTAGCATAATTGTTTACTTTTTATTTATTTTCCATTTTAAAACAAACAATTATTTTAATAAAACTATTTCACTGCTTATTAATATTTGAAAAAAAAAATAAAACTTTAATCCACCAACTCAAATGCATACCAAACACTAAATAAATAAATACATAAATACATACATACATACATACAATACAGGAAATGATTTCAAAGAAAGGTTTCAAGGTTAATAAGTCTCTTAAAATATCAGATATTTCCTCCTAAAATATCAATACTTGACCATTTTATGACAAGACAAGGTTAGTTCAGGTTGTAAAATGTCATGATGTGACTCCACAAAAACATATATCATGTTTAGGATTAATAATTCATGAGATTTGTTAAATAAGTAAGCAAGTTAAGTAAATGCATTAATAAATAATCACTTTCTTCTTAAAATATCTATTCAAAAGGCTTTTTTGAAAACAATAATTATGTACACATGTATCCAAGATGTAAAGAAAATGTTAACTTTGTTAAGCTATTCAAATTTTTTTTTCAGTTATTCAAAACCACTTGGAACGATTATGATTTGAAAGAGTACAATTCTAAGAACTTAGAAATAGATTTTAAATAGTTTTTTCCCCCTTTTTCTTTATCATGAGCACTTTTATATGTCATTTACCCTTCTAAAGCCTTAAAATCATTAAATATATACAAAACAATCACTAGAATCTCTTCATTCGTCTTCTTTTGTGATGTTGAGTGTACTGTGCTGTGACTGTTTGCAAACACAGAAGTTCTCATATGACCACAACCTAGTTTGAATAATCTGAAGTGTGTATTTAAAAGTGTTTTTCAAGTGACATGACAGTGATTAGATGATGACAGAATTGTTATTTTTGTGAGAACTTTTCCTTTAATAGTACAACCACTACTTTGATTTAATTAACATACATTCCAAAATCATGTTCGCCAAATGTGAGTTCTTTTTTTAATTTGAATGCATTGGAAAGTCTCCAATGTAACCATGTTTTCCATCACAAGACAGCACCATACATGAGAGCACCACATTCATAGTCCCATGGGAAGGTTTAGCTTAAAGCAGTGGGTAGGACTGACCCACTGGACAGTGATATGTGTGTTAGTTAGGGTCTGTCAATAGTTACAGCACCCCTGAAGCAACCCTAGGCAGGGTGAGGCATGTGCGAGCACTAAATCTAACCCACACACTCGGGTAGTTTAAGGTCTCTTTCAGAACCAGCTTGTTTTAATTACTTGGAGTAAGTGGCAGCATTTGGCTGAGTTTATTGCTCTTCTTAAAAGAGCAGGCCCCTGCTTTAGAACACGAACTCTGCCTGATTGCAAAGCTGTAAATCCATACTCTTGCTGCTCCTCTAACAAAGCCCAGGCTGGCTGCTGTACCCCTTGACTGGAGGGCACTCATAAATTCTCTTTTAATTTTCCAACTTTCAGAGACAATGGGTGGCCCAAACAATCCCACAGTATCAAAGGCCAAAAAAATGTGGAAGAGGAAAGGACGGACAAGGAATCATATCCTATAATGTAATTTAATGTAATGTTAATAAATAATTATTTTTTTATATTTTTTATTCTATTTATATTTTTTATTTTGTATTTTATTTTTTTATTATTATTCATTTTTTATATTTTTATTTGTCATACCTAAAAATATACGAACAAAAATAACATTACATTTTATTTTAAGGTGTCCTTGTTACAGTACTGAGTAATAGTGATTAATAACATATACTTACTATAGATTACTTTTCTTTCCTTTAGCTGTTATTACTATAGTAGGTATAGTAAATATATTATAGTAAGTACTGTTTAACAAAGACACTTTAAAAAGTGTTCACTTTTTCAAAACATATTTTTGTATTGTTTTACCAGTTTAAAATAAAATAAAATAAAATAAATTTAACTTTTGTATAATCTATTCTGACAAATCTTTTCAGTCTATTTGAACCAATAAACATGGAGCAGCATAAAAAGTCAAGGTGTGGAAGAGAACTTTTAGGATGGAAGTGTAAATACCGTTCTGGCTAAATTAAACCATGAACCTATCATGTCAGGTGTAAACCAAAATAAATTATAGGGGGCATGATAATGTTTTCCTTGATCTACCTAAGCAATATAGGGATTGGTTCAGTTCCCTCACAAATCATCTGTGCGTTTTTATGTGAGTGACCGACTGAGAGACCCTGTGTCATTAAGGTGCTAAGGCTCTACTCATTAGAAATGACAAGAGGAAGTAAATCTAACAATCACTTACTCTTGGTCTGTGCACTCAGTATTGCTGGGAGCACCAATAATGTTTCCCGCTTGGTGACGGCATTTCTTAACTTACATACAGTTAATAACATTCTCCTCTGTAATAACATTCAAATAATTGCATTTGGTTACAAGAGACAAGGATCTATGTTATCTGATAGGTAAGTAAATGAGTATCTAATAAAAAAGTTTGGGGTAAAAAAATTATTATTAAAATATTCTATAACATAATTCTATAAAGTATTCTATAACACAATTCTTCTTATATTCTGACTAAAATCCATATTAAATGTGTGTGTGTGTATGTATATATATATATATATATATATATATATATATATATATATATATATATATATATAAAA